TCCAATCCAAATACTTTTGGTTCCCTAATGTTGACCCCCTACATGTCCTATACCAAAAAAATTGGAGAAGGTTGAGTATCAGGGTGCGAGATCCGAGGTCCCAAACACAACCGAGCAAGTAAGTAAGAAGGTTGAGTATCAGGGTGCGAGATCTGAGGTCCCAAACACAACCGAGCAAGTAAGTAGCCACTTTGGTCTTTCCTCAAAAAATATTTGTAGGAATAGCTCGGTGTTACCTCATAACCTTCAAGTTAACTCAGAACTAAGTAGATTTGAAAGGATTGGGCTAGACCACAAGCTAAAGACCCAAATTTAATGTTTTTAATGGATAGCCTAATATCTTATAATTAGGATGTACGCAAAATTTGATGGACATAGTGTAACGATCCTAATATTTTACCTATTTAATCTAAGGTCATTACTATACTTTGAAATGCGGAATATACATTTAATGGGCTCTATTCATTAATGCGACTCGCACTCGCCTTTTATTATCTCAGAGAAAAATGATTACAAGGGAAAAAGGGAAACATCATTTAAAGAAAGGAAAAGCAACAAAACCAAGAATGAATAGTTTATTCTACCCTAAGGTTTATTATGCAAATACATTTCATCCTATTCTAACCTATACTAGAAATGAAAAAAAAAAAACAACCAACTACCCTATGCATGTGCCACGATCCTGAGGTGTCCGATGCCGTCGTCGTTGTCACATGGGTGCCTTGCCCTTATCTGCAAAAGTAAAGTAGCACGAGGCTTGAGTATTTCTAGAATACTCAGTAAGTGACCCCCTATCGGGGTTATGCAACAAACACATGAAATGAAATGATGGGACCTATCGTTCCATTTCGTTTCGTTTCATTTCGTTTTCCCTACGGTGTAATCCTAACAAGTAATCGTGGACGTGTACCATATACTCTACACGCAGCCCATACGTGCGAGTATGGGCTCACCAGCTAGTTCGCACACCGCTGGGCCACTGTCCCTAGCCAGTGGGCATGCTCTGGGGGCCCACCGGGACCAGTTAAAACTAAAACCGTCACGGCAGCGCTATGTAGCGCATAACGATCGTTGTCCTGCCATTTGGATGTACGCGTCCGTACCCTCGTGATAGGATAAGGGTACCCCCCAAATGCATGAACACGCAATATGCATGAGGTCCCACTAGCCCTACAGTCATCATTTAATGAGCATAACCCCGTGTCATGTTATCATGCCTACATGTCATTCTCATTCTCATTTCGTTACATGTCATACATATTCCTAGCGGGGTTATGTATCATGCAATTTACCGTATTTCATGTCATACAATTCATTCAGTTACATTCTCATACTCATACAACAAGTCATAATCGTACACGGGTCACACATCATCACATGCATTCATATCACATCCACTAAGCAGCATAAATAACATACATTCACGTTCACACGATTTCGTACTTAAGCACATTAAGCTAGCATACAATTTAATGGCACGTGCATAACCACGGGCACATGCCAACATACAGCAATTAATGTGTAACCTACAACGGGTGAGCCACTTACTTGGTAGGCCTTAGCCGAAGTACTCCCTAGAATATAACGTAAGCTCCTAGCTCCTTTTTCCCTCTTTTTTCCCCCGTTCCCGAGCTTATCCTTCACCCTAACCCCATTTTTGGTACAGATTTCGTTGGTAAAGGCCTCGCACTCCCAGATCTGGAGAAGCTCGGAAGTCTGCCGTTCCGTCTTCCTTGCCGACGGTGTTCAGCGTATGGGATTCGTCTAAAACCTACTCCTGATGTGTGTAAAGGGTTCTGGGATTACTTTTGTGGTGTGAAATGGGGGTTTTCGACGTCGATTCGTACGGTTCGGCTTCGCCGGAGTTCCGTCGGTTGTCTGTTCTCTCTCCTTTTTCCTCACCGTTTTCGTTTCTTTGCAGGTTCTTTCAGGATGGCTGAAGGTCGAGGACACGATTTGTGGCATCTCAGCCCTCGGCCGCCCTTTGTGGATCGTGTGCGAGCGAAAACTCTGGCGCCAGAGTTTTCGGCTCTGCCGACGACCATCATTTTTTTTTCGGTTCCGTTACATTACCTACCCCTAAAAGGGACTTTCGTCCTTAAAAGTCTTGAACTCGTGGATCAACTCGGGATATTTTTCCTTTATTTCCTCCTCTCGTTCTCACGTAGCTTCCTCGACTTGGTGGTTACGCCACAATACCTTAACGAAACCTATACTCCTATTACGTAAGGCTTTCACCTCTCGGGCTAGAATTTTAATCGGTTTCTCCTGGTAACTTAAATTTTCCTCGATTTCGAGAGGTTTGTAGTCTATTACGTGCGTCGGGTCTGGAATATATTTCCTTAACATGGACACATGAAATACATCGTGTACGCTTGAAAGTGAAGGTGGTAAAGCTAGTTTGTAAGCTACCGGACCTACTCTTTCTAAAATTTCGAACGGTCCAATGAATCGGGGGCTGAGCTTCCCCTTGCGTCCGAATCTTAGAATACCTTTCATGGGGGCTACTTTTAGGAACACTGGGTCCCCTTCTTCGAACTCTAAATTCTTATGCGTAACGTCGGCGTAGCTCTTTTACCTACTTTGCGCGGTACGCATTCTTACTCGAATTTTCTGAATTGTCTCGTTGGTGACACGGACCAGCTCGGGTCCTACCAGTTCTCGTTCTCCTACTTCGTCCCAACACAATGGGGATCTACATCGTTTTTCATACAATGCTTCAAAGGGTGCCATCCCGATGGTTGCTTGGAAGCTGTTATTGTAAGAGAATTAAAGTGCAGTTTGGTGTCCCAACTCCCTGTGAAATCCATAACGCATGCCCGAAGCATGTCTTCCAGAATTTGGTTTAATTATTTTGTTTGGTCATCCGTTTGTGGGTGGAAGGCGGTGCTAAAGTCGAAGCGGGTACCCATCGCTTTTTGGAGTCCGCATCAAAAGGCCGACGTAAAACGCGGGTCCCGATCCGACACAATTGACACCGGTACTCCATGCAATCTCACAATTTCTTTAACATACAGTTGTGCCCAATTGTCTACTGTATATGTTGCCTTACCCGGTAGGAAGTGAGCCGACTTTGTCAGGCGGTCCACGACCACCCAGATTACCGTATAGCCCTTTAAGGTTTTGGGTAGGCCTACTATGAAATCCATGGCAATGTTTTCCCATTTCCATTCCAGTATACTTAGAGGTTGTAGTAGCCCAGCGGTTTTCTGCCTAGGGGCTTTTACTTGTTGGCACACTAGACACTTACTCACGTACTCCACGATATCCTTCTTCATACTTCGCCACCAGAAGTGTTGTTTCAAGTCTTGATACATCTTTGTTCCACCTGGATGTATCGAGAAGGTTGAGTTGTGTGCCTCCGTTAGGATTTCATTTTTTATTTCGCTCATGGGTGGGACACATAAACGCCCTTGGCATAATAATCTGTCATCTGTTGATTTAGTGAATCCATCCACTGGGCCAACTTCCAATTGGTCTAGGATTTTACTTAGGCTTGGATCCCCATGTTGCGAGTCTATGATCCTTTGTCTGAGCGTGGGGCGCACTGTCAGTCGGGCTATTTAGGCGGCAACTTCTTTGGTTACTACCGCGATATCAGCCTGTTCGAAATTAGTTCGCACTCGTGGCTCCTTGGTGATGAGGGCCGACGAGTGTACTGCTTTTCGACTTAGTGCATCAGCAACTACATTTGCTTTTCCAGGGTGGTACTGGATGTCTATGTCGTAATCTTTTACCAGCTCTAACCATCTGCGTTGCCTCATGTTCAATTCTTTTTGGGTGAACAAATATTTTAGGCTTTTGTGGTTATAGAGACGTGTTTTAAAGCCTTGAGGGAAAGCCCGAAAGGGAAAGCCCAAAAAGGACAATATCTGTTAACAGTGGATCTGGGTCGTTACACATAGGATCGGGTTTAGGACCTAAACCAATGATAAGGGTAAAATGACCAAAATGCCTCTACGGTGTCCTTGTGATGTTTTATGGTCAGTCTATTTATAAGGTTATAAATAGAGTAGTACCTGACACTTAGACTGCTAGGTACTACTCTATTTAGACCCGCCTTATGTCCTAAGTGACCCTAGACCTCCCGATACATAGTGCATTATGATCAATATATTTTTCTCACTTCAATGGGTTGTCTTGCTCAAACTCTTTTCTAGATGCCCTACTTCGTAGGATGCCATAACCTAAACTATGTCTCGAGGGACACAAGGAAATGTCGGGACATCCATTGCCCAAATTTAAATTTTGAATTCTTGTGCAAATCTCCGGCACAAGTTTTATATTGAGATTTATGTTGGTTACTTCTCATGTGACCTAAAAGATCTTCTAGGAGTGCTTTAGGGTCAGGACTAGCGACATGCATTGTGTATGAAGTGGAAGCGGACAACCCGATGAGATCCACTCTCCTTAAATCCATCCAAAGACGAGGTATCATATAAATGCATAAGCCAGGCCTAACAAAACTAACTCGTGGTCTAAGACCAAGATCCTTAGTACAAAAACCGTGTTATGCCTTTGGTCAAATTTTAGGGTATAGTATCCCTAACATCCACTATGGACACGATTAAGAGCCTACAAATAGACTACTTATGAACCTATATATTCACTCTAGTTTTTACATATATTTAGGTAACAACTAGAAGCTAGTCGAGGACATGAACGAATATGGAGCAGGTGCCATAGAGAGCCAAACCTAGGATATGAGCGAATATGAAGCAGGTTTCTTGTCGTTTTGTCTCGATTTTATTTTGTACTTCGTCGGAAAAATAATCAATTTTCTCCTCTAAAAAATACAAAATTATTTTTAAACGGGTTTTTAGAATATAAATATTTGTAAAACATTTATATCTAAAAGAAAAAAAATATATTGAGAATGAATTTTTATTTTATTTTATTAAATTCCATAAAAATTAATTTAAATTGATATTAAAGACTCATTTTATGAATTTTAAAAAAAATAATATTAAAATGTAAGGCATGGTGGACAAAAGACAGACTAATATTGTATTCCGAATTAATCAATAATTAACAAAACAGTGAGTCAGACATATCCTTTCCTCTCAAAGCTCTTCTTTCGTCGCAAGCGTTGGCGATGCTCTCTTGATCTTCGGTCCCGTTTCCGCCGCAAGTTTCGTGTAAGTGTTTTTCGATTTTTGTAAATTTCGTCTTTCGATTGCAAATTTCTGGAATTTTCTTTCGATGTTTGATTCCGGTGTTCCTTGGCTTTAATTCTGATCGAGTTTCTGATTAGGAAAAACACCAAAAATAGGGGTTGAACTCGTTCCTGGAACCTAATCTGCGGATCAGAATTCAAATATTATAGTTTCTGATTCTTTGGCTGTTGAATTGAGTTGTTGAACGATTTCGTTTCAGTTTTGCACTATAGGCTATGAGGTTGAATTGGTACTAAACAAGATTAATCGGTAGGACTGCTATGTTAATCGAAATTTCACATTACTTTCTGGAGAAAGAAGAATCCTTAGCGAGTAGCATCGGTGAGAGAGTATTTATGGACATGCATGTTGACTATTACGAATGAAATCTGTATCATCTGGTAAACACTAAAGATGACTTTTCGGAACCTTGTAAATGTCATGTTCGTTTAATTAAACACATTTTCATTGTTGGTTTCTGAATCCTTGGTTGGAGCCTGGATATAGCTGACGTTTGAAGTGTTTATTTGTCACTTTGAATTTTGGATGCGTTTTTCATTCCAAATCCATTGTCCAAACCAAACTTCTTCTGTCTCTCTATCCCTTTCTAACTATATATTTTACCAAAAGTTTCAAGAAATCTATCCCAAAATTTCATAAGATATTATCCAGTTCTCAAGCAGCAGACCTACACTACACTCATACGGAAGAATATTGGACAAGTTGCATGTTAATTCTCCATAAATTGGCAGACGAGATTCCGAGGGATTTTTAGCCTTCCGGTGAAATAGAGCACAAGGGATCTGGTTGAGCATCCAAAATGAGCAAATAGAGATTTCCCAGAAAATGCAGTAAAAATTTGAGAGTCCACCTATAAAGATCATTATTTATTCCATGATCATTTGAAAAAAAGAAAAAGAAAAAGGTGCAGAGTCCTTTTCTAACAAAAAATACATGAATGAAGTTGTTGGGACACAAAATATAGCAGCAAATGGATTTCTAATGAATTTTGAAGGCGCCTTTAGCCACAATAGTCGTCCCACCCGTGGACTCATAGCCATACTTCTTCTTAATGATCCTATGCCATAACGCATTTGAATTTGAAGGAAATCACCAAAGCTTAGCAACCAAGAGAGAAAAATCCTTACTGGAAAAAATTTACCCTACCCAAGCACCTTTGCTACACCACTTAGAAACAACCTCCTACCCAACAGATGAGATTATCCATACTTCTCATCATTTTCCTACCAAAAACTCCTCATCACCCTTACTAAAATGGAGCATACTAAAGAGGGAATCCTAAACAAGAATAGATAAATAGTTAGGGATTCGGTAACAACCTATTGGTTTAATTTTATTAACCTCCTGTTCTTAGAGAAACAACTTTCTTCTAAAAAGAGGAATTTTTTCTATTTCTTCTACGAGTGGGTCCAAAAAGAGTAGGCTGAGGAAAGGATTATGTCCCAACCAAAAGAAGTTATAGTAATGTTGTAAGTTTCCAAGGAACTTCACAAGCAGCGAAGTGAGTTCGCCTCTTAAGTTTTATCTGGATCAAGATAAAGACCAGCAACAAATTATTCCTCCTCCCTACATGATACTAATAACAATATGGTCTCGAGAACTTCTGTTAAAGTTCAGAAATGAATTCTCCCGACTGGAACCAAAATATAATGGTATCATCATCAAATTACAAATGAGTAAGATGGTAACTTTCTAGGAAGCTCCTATTTATGCATCTGGTAAACTGTAGTCCACTGAAAAGGTGACCTGGATCTGATGAGCAAAATCTTACCACTACCTTTGCCATCGATCATGATTGATATTGGTAATGCTATGAAGGAGGAATCCATACTCCTACCAACATCCATTGCAATAATTTCATTCACAGTGAACTGCATATTTTGATTTGGATCACATTTTCCCATTATCGACCAATTGGCTCACATGCTTTAACATATCTTTCTCGGTCCATTGTGTGTCGTTGGAGTAAATAATCATCATTGCATGATATGGCTTCTACAGTTAAACCGTTCACACTGGTGAATTCATCACGTGGGTATTGTCCAAAGAGGAAGACATGAAGGGACAAGAAGATAGACTTGAAACTTCAGACAGTTCTGGGGAAAAGGTGGAGCATCTGGTTCAAATCAAGGCCTTGTTTTTTGCTAGAGCTCGAGATCTTACGGGCCTAAACGACGTGATATTGGATGTCCCTTCAGGCAGTACTGCCAAGGATTGTTTGAACAAGATTGTAGGAAAATTTCCAAGGCTAGAAGAGATCATTGGATGTGTGGTTCTTGCTCTGAATGAGGATTATACAACTGAGTCAACAATCGTTAAAGATAAAGATGAGTTGGCAATTATCCCTCCCATAAGTGGTGGCTAACGTTTCTTCTGTTGCCACCAAAGATATTTCCCCTTGTTTCTTTTTGGTGCCTTCTCAAATGTGGGACTTAATAAGAGCTCAAACATTTCTTTTGGTTTAAAACATCTATTGTAAATTAAACGTTCCCTTTCCTTCTGAACCTTGGTAAGTAAAAAAAATATTCCCATAGGAATTTAGAACAATATTGAGAAAGCTAAAATTTTAATTGAGTTAAATATGTACTTTCTGTACCAATGTTTTAACTCTTTTTCATTGTCATCATTATTAAGAGTATTAACTAAATCGAAATTGCACACGTTCAAGGCTGAAAATGGATTAAGAGTTCAGAATTGGTTGAGACTTTTATGCATGAAAGATCGAATGAAACTAACTATTAGAAGATCATGGACAGTAAAGTTGAAAAGTAACATGTGCATCAAAGATAAAGCTATATGAATGGTGTAAAGATAAAGTTGTATATGTTTAGGCCTAAAATAAAATTGACAAAATGAATTTCACCCATATGCATCAAAGATAAAGCTATATTTAGGCCTAAGATAAAGTTGTATATATTTAGGCCTAATGGACTCTATGTTTGTACATTCTTTTAAATATTTGACAAATCAAACTATACAATTTGGGTAGATAGAAAGAAATGCTAAAAAAATATTTATTTATTTATTTATTTCTTTTTATTTAATTGTATTTTTTAAGCATTTGAAAAGTCATTTTAAATATTTGTGAATGTGAGCACGAAAGAGATAAGCAACGTCTGTGAAATATTTTAAAAAGAGTGATCATAAGAGAGGCAAGCAACGTTCTTGGAAGTGTTCCAAGTGAATGTGAGCACGAAAGAGACAAGCAACGTCTATGAAAGTATTTTAAAAAGAGTGATCATAAGAGAGGCAAGCAATATTCTTGGAAGTGTTCCAAGTGAATGTGAGCACGAAAGAGACAAGCAACGTTTGTGAAAGTATTTCAAAAAGAGTGAGTGATCATAAGAGAGGTAAGCAACGCTCTTGAAAGTGTTTCAAGTGAAGTGAGCATGAGAGAGACAAGTAAGACCCGTGAAAATGCTCTTAAAAGAGTCGAAGAGAATCAAGTAATGTTCGTGAAAGTGGTTCAAGAGAAGTAAGCACAAAAGAGACGAATTACACCTCTAGAAGTGCTTCAAAAATAGTGAACACGAGAGAGTGCTCTAAGAAAATAGTTGGTAGAGTTATGTATTCTCATGACTTTTAACTAATAGATATGCAAACAAAAGAATTTCATAGCCTAATCTACTCGAACATAGTTTGCGATTATTTATATTTTTGGTTTCACTTAAAAAAAACATATATAAGTAAGAAACATGTTTGATAATTCTTTCGTATTTTCAGTTCTTTTCGATATTAAATTATTAACAAAACAAAAGGCATACATAAAAATTAATTTTTTAATAAACAAATGTTAAGTTATAAGTTCAATTCACTTCCATTCTTGAACCCTTCAAGTGTTAAGTTTATGTATTCTAAAATTTTTAGTTTTAAGTAAGATGTTCTTAAACAATGTTCTAATGAAACTCTAAATTTTCGTCTAATAAATTTCTTACATTTTTTTTTAGAATTTATAAATCTATTAAATACATACGTGAAAGTTTAATATTAAATTAACACAAAACTCAATTTTATGTCTGACAAATAAGTAGAAACATTATTGAAATCGTTGTAACAACATATATTCACTGGGTTTCGTACTTGAAAAGGTAGTGAAACTTAATAGAAGATACTAATCCACCAAACTAGATGATAGGAACCGGGCACATAAAATAATTATTTGAGATACTCAAGCCACGTACAGTTATGTATTGACTTGAAACTTATGAAAGACATGAGACAATAAATAACTAGAAAAAATTTCTTCTAGATGCGTGTGTGTCTATATATATATATATATATATATATATATATACTCATACATATAAATTACTTAAAAGTTGTTGAAGTTTACAAAACAAATGCCTAAGAGTACCTTATACGATATAGCCAATAGCTAAAACAAGTTAAGACATAATACAATAATACAAAAGGAAGACTCGAGCCTAAATGGTCCTCTAGAGATATGCAACTCTGGAATGCTCCTACTCTCCACTAACACCTCATTTACCATCTAAAATACACAAAATAGCAAGAATGAGTATAAAAATATACTCACTGAGCTGCTTGCAAGCTCTATATTGAATACAACTTTAATCTAAAACTACATGTCTAGATTGTAGATTGTCGGGGTTAACCCTAAATCTGAGGGCGTACAAGCTCCGGTTTTGGATGTTTAACCCAAAAGTTCTTTAATATTCTATCCCTATCAAGGTCTTGAATAGTGCACCTAGGTTGATGCTATACATACTCACGGTTGAAATAGTTCTAAAGTCCAGAATTCTAAGAACCGACTAGAAAATGGAAAATTGCAAAAGTAACTCTAAAAGTCGATTTTATGTATGGTCCGCTTATAGATATTTTTCCAAATTAATGACTTTTAACTTTTCACATCTCTCCTAATCGTGCCTACATCCTATACAGAGTTGCCACAAAATGATCCAACGACTCTGATTGGCCACAGGTTAGATTGAATTGATTCTTGTTCCTATACATCAGAGGAAGATTGCCTCTGAGTTTGAATGTTACTTTTAATGTTTAGAGTTGAATTAAGGACAATTAGGTATTTATAACTCATCCAATGAGTTCTAAAATCGATTGCAATAGGTTTGAACATCATAGGTGAAGTTCTAACTGTTTACTTTTGTATGCATAAGAAGATCAAATTAGGCTTATAGTGTAAGTTTAGAGCTTACATTGGGAATATCAAACCTTGACTTTTTTGCATTTGGCATATTCGAGTAGTTTTCTTTTCCGCCAGCTTTTGACAGCATAAGTATATGCTTGCCTATAATTAATCCGAGGGAGTACATTACATATGCATAGACTATGAAGAGAAGTACTATGCATCATGATATTATTCGTGTACTTTTCTTTTCCATCAGCTTTTGACAGCATAAGTGTGTGCTTGCCCATAGTCAGCCCTAGAGAGTACATTAACGGGTTCATTTAGTGGATCCACGTGCATATGCATAGATTGTGTA